GGTCTGCGGCGTGCGTGCGGGCGTCGTCGAGTCTGACCCAAGGAAGGATTTGGATTCGGTTTTATTACACTGTGCCCGGGCCGAAAGGATTTGCCTGGCGACGCGGGCGATCCCGGGGATCCGAGGTAGGTCGCTGACGCTGTGGGCCCGCGGTGATGGTCCCATGTGGACGTGGGTGGGCGGGTGTGCAGCGGGGTGGGCGGGAGTGTGGCAGGGACACGGGCCCGGCCGCGGTGGGCCCGGGTGGGCTGGTGACCTGGCTCCGACTGGGACGGGTCGACCTGGTTCTGAGCCCGACTATCTCAGATCGCGCTTTCCAACCAACTGCCCGCGCCGACCCACAGGAGTTCGGAATCGCGACGTGACATTGCGCGCCGCTCCACGCGTCACCTGCCGTTGGATCTCGCCATCAACGGCCCAGATGAGCGCTATGGACCATATCACTTGACCACTTTCCGGAGACGAGACTAAAACTCTACTCCCTCCGTCCGAAAATACTTGTCCTTAAAATGGTTACCAGCAAAACATTTTCCAGGTGCAAATGACGTCGGAAATATGTGTCTCTTGGGCGGCCCTGCCTCGTGCTCGTCGATGGTTTACCCGATGTCAACGAGGGGCTCGTATATTGAAAGTGGTTTACCCAGCAAAATGAAATGAAATAAAACTGGATTTAGAGAAAGAAGTTTAGGAGAATTAACAAAAGTTGCTACTCCCTCTGTCCAGTGAAAAATGTGCATTTAGAAATTTTAGAGGCTCTTGGAAGTGGTGTGGAGCCTATATTGTGAACAATAATATTCTACCTAAGAAGATTCAGACATGAGAAATGATTGCATGCAAACCAGTTCCATGCACTTGCTATATCACTAGAGTTACTAAGCTCCCTCGAACGTGAGGGCTGTGGTCGCTCGGGGCTAGAGAGATAAAACTGACCACGATTATCAATGGGTGAGTTGAAAATTGTTTACCGCTTGGTCCCCTCCCAGATACACGTATCCTGGTGATGTGTCGCTCCTGTAAATGAGGGGAATTAGCGGTACGGCCGACTATTCACGTATCAGTTGATGTGTCGCACATTTTGATGGGAAAATGAAATAGTTTTGCTAAGTCTCAGTCGACTGAGACTTTTTTATGTCTCAGTCGATGCTATATGCCTTTGATCTTGCATAGAGATTCTTAAAAAAATCTTCTTAGTTTTCTCTTTTTCTCATTATATACTACTCCCTTCGCACGGAAATACTTGTCATTAAAATGGATAAAAATGAATGTATCTAAAACTAAAATACATCTACATACATCCATTTTAATGACAAGTATTTCCGGACGGAGGGAGTATATCACTTGACTGAGACTTGGTTAAATCTCAGTCGATTGAGACCTAGCCACACACAAAAAAAACATCGCATATCACGGCACAACACCGCCAGCCCATAACCGCCTCTTCCGCACTGCATGTCTGCACAGTCATCACAAACTCGCCATTGCGCCGCACGCCCCTTCCCCATCTCTCTCTTTCTCTCCCTCTCGCAACGAGGTAATGCTCGGCAACGGCGGGCGCGCGGGTCATTGACGAGAAGGCGGCGAGTCATGCCACAGCGGCCAACGATGGCGCTACGTAGGGATGCCCACTGACTTCAGGACTCGATCGTCTTCCTCGACACACTGCCGTCGACAAGGTATGCATCATAGCTACTGATCCCTCGCTCCCCCCTCCCCCACCTCCCCCCTTCTCCTTTCTCAGCCAGATTTGAATTTGATATTACTTGCTCCGGGCTAAACAAGTAGCAAATTCCAAGGGGATTTTATCTTCAAGTTTGAATCAAATTTGCATGTTGTGCTCTAAAGTTAGAATCAATAGTAGATTCAGATCGAAATTGTTTCAGCACTGGGTTGTAACTATCATGTAGCCATAAAAACTCATCAATGTTTTGTATCTCAGTTGTTGCTTTCCCAGGAGGGTTATAGAGGAATCACGATGTTTATTTGTGAACACGACTGCTTTGTCTATAGAGCTGATTCCATAGAATTTTATTTCTAGTTGCATCCCTATCCGATATTATGGTTTGGCCTTGAAGTTCCAGGACATGGGTGACAGCAACCACTGCCTATGGATATTTTTTGGTAGTTCGTCTATGATTTCATCTTTGTGAAGAACAATTGTTGTAAAGCTGTAAAAAATTGACTAATATCCTATCAAGTTTCGGTGATCATGTGTCTTTGCTTCTGGAAATCTCTATACGTTTCTTTTGGACTAATATCCTCCTACAACACCACAAAATCATGGAAGCCAAAAACACAAAAGCCCCACAGAAAATGAACAACAATGCTCGGTCCATTGATTGATATAAGTAAAAGATCTATCTGAGAATTAACGGCCAAATAGGCAAATAATTTGAAAAAACGGGCACCGCAAAGCACGCGTGTATTCTAGTTGTTTTGATGTATTTTTTGTTAAGTGTTTTGTTATTTACTTCTTGCTATCAAGTGTTGTGTTATTTAGTTCTTGCCGCATGTACCTGTCAAGTTTTTTTTTGATATCAGCATGTACTCCCTCCGTTCCAAATTACTCGTAATGGTTTTAGTTCAAATTTATACAAAGCTTTAGCTATTACTGATTGCACGCGAAAACTGGTTCCATATTCTTCTTTTCTAAAGACCATCTAGGTCTCAGTCCACTAAGGGCCCATTCGGAAGTCTGCTGGCTTCCCAAAGTGGCCAGCTTCTCGGGGAGGCAGCGCTAGCCAGCTTCTTGGCGGAGCCAGTGATGCGTTCGGCACTTTGGCAGCGCGCGGCTGCTCTCTAGCTCTCGTCTACATGGGCCGGCAGCCCAGGAAGCAAGCATAAAGCCCAGTTAGGTGGTTTCTCATACGGGAGAGAACGTATCGGTGAGAGAAACATATCGATCGAACCGGTACGCTGCCCCAGAGTTCACTTGGCGGTGGCATATCCGATAATTACGTCCAACTCCGCCTCCTTCCATTTTTGAAGCTAGGTTCGACCCGCTTCTCGTTTTTGCACTACGAGGGCAGGGATGACAAATTTTACCCATGGGTACGGGTACCCGCGAGTATCGTACCCGCATGGGTAGGGTATGGGCGCAACTTTATACCAACGGATAGTACACATACCCTACCCGTTAAGTCATGGGTTGGGAACAGGTATAGCCTTTTACCCATGGATATACCCATACCCTACCCATTTTATAGTGACATGTGAATCTTACCCGTGATTCACAATCACAAGTGTACATATGTTAAAGTTATGTTGTGAGCTTATGAACCTATGTTAAAGTTGTTACCAATTGTCAATTTGAATTGAGATAATTTTCATCTACTCAACTATTTGTTATTGAGTTGAGATCAATGTTTTTTTGTCAAATGTGCTATAGATGAATGTAAAATTGCGAATAGCTTGTGTACTATTTGAACTGCCCGTTGGGTACCCAATGGGTATGGGTACCTGTCGGGTATGGGTACGGGTAAAGTATCATACCCATGGGTATGGGTATGGGTAGAATTTTGTACCCATTGACTACAAGGGTATGGGTATGGTATTGCTCTACCCGCCCCATACCCTACCCATTGCCATCCTTAAGGGCAGTTCGCTCCGCGAAGCTGGCTTCCAGGAGCTGCCACGTTCGAGACGACTCCACGTGCTGACCAAAGAAGCTGGGAGTAGGAGAGGATCCGAACGGGGCCTAAGACACGTCATCCATGTTTAGATTCGGCATGTTTATCATGTGGGCTTTTGAGTTATATTTTTCTCCTTGTGTGGGCTTAAGTTCTGTGCTGTGTTGAGAAACGCGTGGTGGGCTTCAACTCGTGTGGTGCAGGAAACGAGTGCAGCTAGCCGGACGCACAGGTCCACGCGAAAGCAACTTCTTTTTTTGTAACGCGACCTCACACTTCAAACGGGTGCAGCTAGCCAGTTGGCCTCATGGTTGCTGGTGATCATGCAAAGCGCGAACTATATAAAAATACGCAACAGGGTTGAGACTCGAAAAACTTAAAAAAAAACTGAAAATTTGAACAATTTTTAAAAGCCAATTTTTTTTGAACACAAACAAATTTTCAAATTGTATTTTAAAAAATGAATTATTTCGGTAATTCCAAACAATTTTTGAAAAGCTGATCAATTTTTTAAATTCCAAACAGTTTTTAAAATAAGAAAATGTTCAAAAATTCAAATATTTTTTGAAAACACAAATAACTATTTTGAGAAACACTAACACTTTTTAAGAAACAAGAAAATGTTTCCAGAATGAGAACATTTTTTAACTTTTTGCACAAAGTTTCATAACGAGAACACTTTTTGATATTCAGAACATATATTTAAAAAACACAAACATTTGTTTTAATTGTGTTGTACACACATA